TTTTTTTTTTTGGTACCTGGGATTGAACTCAGGACCTTGTGCTTGCGAGGCAGGCAGTGGAACCACTGAATTTTACCTCAATTTAAAAGACGGGTCTGGCCATGGTGGCACACATCTGTCATCCCAGCTACTCAGGAGGCTGAGGCAGGGGGATCAGAAATTCAAGGCCAACCTGGGCAACTCAGCCAAACCCAGTCTCAAAATAAAATTTAAAAAAGAAACAGCTGGAGATGTAGTTCAGTGGCAGAGCGCGTCCCCAGCATTCCACAGGCTCGGGGATTCACCCCCAGTACTGCCAAAAAAAGCATCCCCCCATGGTAGAGAAATAATCAAGTCACACAGTAACCCCCTTGTCCTACTTTTAATCTTCTCACTGCACTAAGAGTCAAAGCCACATTCCCTCCCAGAGCGCACAGGACCCTCTGGCCTGGCCCTGTGGCCCCTGCCACCTCTCCTAACAAGCTCACCCCCTCAGCCTCTCGGGTCCTCCGCACCCCAAGCTCATCCTGTCCTCGTGGGCCTTACCTTTGCTCAGCTGTCAGCAAAAATGTTCTTTCTCAAAGCTGATTCTCAAGGTTTCCGTCCAAATGCCTCTCTCGGCCCCCCAGGACCCTCCCTGACCAACCCACCTAAAACACAGTCCTTGTCACCACTGGAAAAGGTACACAGCTTACTTCTTCATTGCCTATTGCTCCAGCCAAGAAGGCAGGGCCCTGTGTGCTAGGTTCCCAGCCCACCCTGTGGGCAAGAAGTGTTCTTCGAGAAGGAATGGATTTATGGAACAATTTCCGCTCCAATCTGAAATGCCACCTGCCACCTGGTCAGAAGTCAGGATCACTAAGTCATGTGCCACACAGCAGGTGCGCAGGGAGGTACCAGGCACTGGCGGGACACTGAGCGGAGGCCCCGCCCTAGGCCTGTCCAGAACCCTGAGGAAGCAGTAGCCACAAAGTCTTTTAGGGGTCACAGAGCACCCAGTGTTTACCCAGCAACCTATAAACAAACAGTGGAGAGAGCTGAGATTGCGTTGCTGATGCCCAATGCTGGTGGCTACGCTCCAGGTCGGCCTCAAAAAACTGTAAGAGCGGGAGAATGCTCTGTTATGGCTTCCTAGGACTCTGCAATCTGCCCTGTCCTCCAGAAGGGATGGTTGCAGCTCACACCTGCTCCTGCCTCCTCCTACGGGCTCCTTCTTTTCAAGGACAGTAAAAAGTCTAAGTGGGCGGATGATGAAGACCTCTCCCCTTCCTGTCTCCGCTCCCTCTTTTGCCCTCTCTGAGCCACGCACAGAGCCAGCTACTTACCCACGAGGAGCTTGACGTCCCGAACTGTGAAATCAGGGTCAGGCATCCTGGAGAGAGAGAGAAGCACAGACACTGGTGAGGAGCCAGGAACAAAGAGCCAGACTCTACCCTGGGCCAGGGGGAAGCCATTTTTCCAAGAGAGTTCCTCACCCTGGACTGGGGAAGTTGAAAGGAGATAACACAGAAGGAGACCAGGAGCGCCTCAAGAAAGGGTCACCCCAGAACCATGGAGCCCCTTCCCCCACCCAAGAGGCAAAATGCCTGAATCTCAGCAGAGGACAGGACATCATCTCCAGCCTGCTTCTGCTGGTTAAGACTGAAGAGTGGAGTTCTGGGCCAAATGTCTCTTTTCCTTAGAGTGGGCAGCCTTTCTGCACCTGGTTCTGCCCCTAGAAAACACTCTCCACTCGGACTTGTATGGAGAGTGGAAGGGACTGCTTTCAGTTCCCAGAGGGAAAAGTCACACAACCTCCAGTTCCAGGGCTTTGCTAATGCTGCCTGCCCACAGTGACCAATGACCTTGGGGACACTGTCAATTAACAAAGACGCTGAAGGTTAAATTCCTATTCCTCATCTGGCAGCAGATGTTGGAGAGAGGCAGCCTGCAGTGACAATTCCCCTACCCCTACCTCCTCTGAGGGCAGAACCTGTTCTTCCAGCCCGCCTGGGTCTCTTCCCCACCTGTAGCTCCTGCAGATCCCCAGCACCTAAGTCTTCCACAAGGACCCACTTCCCACACTGCATATCCAGGTCCACAGCTCAGGTTCTGCCTCAGTTTCCTGATTTGAGGTTAGGGGAGGAGGAAGAGCTACACTTCTTAGCAGGAGATTGCTGCATGAACCCAGGGTACATTAGGGAAAAAGTCATCACTGTTTAAGCATCCTACATTCTCACTGCCCAAATTCCTGCAGAAGACACCCCTTTCTTCCTCGGGCCTGGAACCAGGAGATGCTACTGCCAGATCCTGGGAAAAGGTCCTCCACAGTGACCAGCAGAGGACAGAAGAAATCCATCCCCAAGATATAAACGTGTTAGGGAGGAAGACAGGGGAAGAAGCAATGAGTTCCAACAACTTACTTAATTCCTAGTCCGTCCTTTTCTCGAAATATCAGGGGTACCCTGAGAGCTTCTCTCTGTACGTACTCATAGTTGAAATCTGTTTGGATATTTGAATTAAAACAAGTTGGTTAAGTTATTCAGAAGCAAATGTACCACGATCTATTGGAAGAGAAATGACAGAGGAAGGGGCAGGGGTCTGCTGGACACAGACGCTGGCTCCACGGCCAAGAGATTCCAGAAAATGATGGGGCGCAAAGCCCACGAGAAGCCAGACCCACAGCTGGCTCCTCTGCCTACTCAGCCATTCTCTGAGTGTCCCACGGGTCCAAACTTGTCAATGAACAGGCCAAGGCCAGCCAGGATTGGGGAGGAGACTCGGAAAGAGGCCCAAGCTGAAAGAGCCCAGCTATTGCTGGGAGAGAATCAGGAACAGACAGACAAATGTGTCACAGGCTGAGCTCAGAGAGGAAAGGGACTACAAAACTGAAGGACACCACCTGGGAGGATCTGAAGCCCCAGAGAAGAGGCTGGGAGGAGGGCTCTCATTGTAGCTGAACATCAGTGAAAATCTTATTGTAATATCCTGCATGGAAAAGGGGAGGGGGGAAGCCGGTTTCCCTGGAAACTGTGTATTTGGTGCCAAAATAACTAGGGAACTGGGCACAGCTTTGTTGTCTTCAGAGTGAAATTCTGCTGGGGCATCACAGGATTTGCTGGGACTGGATAACCAAGAGGGATGCTCTCCAGGTGGACTTCGCAAAGGGGCACAAGAAGGCCCACAGGAAAGTCCACAGGGCAGATTTTCACCCGGGGTCATCCTGGTGCAGACTCTAGACCCTCCCTAAGGCCCTGGCGAATGAGGGAGGCTTGGACTAATTGCTTTCCTTGTCAGTTCCCCAACTGGAGATCTGACCCAGCCGCACCTCTGCATAGGGAGGTGAGAGGGACTGAGATCAGTCCTCCTGTGCCTCAAACCCTCAGGGAACCAGAGCAATCCTCGAGGGCGCAAGCCCTCCCTGGCTGGTCTGATGTCCCTTGGCCACTGAAGCCACTGCCCTGGGGAAATGGTTCCCCAGGGCAGCCTTGGGGGAGGAGGTGGTCCAGGCAACTGCCTCAGAAGAGAGAGAACAAAACCCAATGCCGGGAAAGCCCTGACCTCAGCGGCTCCCATCCCCAGGGGCTCGCAGTGAATGGGGATTCCTAAGGATTTAAAGGATGGGAAGTTTAAGAAGCTTCTATTTTGAATCCAGGCTAAGGGCTCCTTCTGTTTCTCAGCGCCTCCCTTGAGTTTTGGGGCCAGATCTGAATTAACTAGCAAAACCCTAAGGCCCTGTCCTTTGAAAGGAACCAGGACAGCAGCTCTATGGATGCCCATTAAAGCTGATGCCCTTGGAGCCCTCTCTGGTAACCTTCCCTACCTATACACCCAAAGCCCCCCACTCCCCCAACTCCAGCTTCAACTTCCTCAAATGAGCTTGGAAAAAAATTCTGAAATCCTGGGCTGAGGATTCCTGACAAATAATTAGGAAGTTTGCATAGTATTTTCTCATAGGCTCTGCCAAATGACTCAGTAAAGGGCGTGTGGGGGTGAAATCCAATTTATGTGTAGGAAATTTAAATGCAGCTGAGATTGGCACCCTGCTCTTGGACTGGGCAGGCTGGGAAAAAATGTCTTCTTCCCTCCTCCCTCTTTCCCCCAACCCACCAGAGCCCAGCGCCCTAGGAGGCAACTAGCACAAAAGAGAAACTTCAAAAATGCAAAGCCTGGACAGTGGCTTGGGGGCTAACCCATGGCCCCAGCCACTCAACCAGAACCTGGAGGAGGGAGGCCTTGCCCAGCTGTCAGCTCACCAAGAGGAAAGGGCTTTCCAAGGGGGATGGGGATGCAGGAGATGGAAACTGAGTAACTGAAACTCAAACATCTGAGGCGGGGGAAAAAAACCAACTCCCACACCCCAGGAGGCAAAGGAAGCCAGGATAGGCAAAGGAAGCCAGGATAGGCAAACGCATTTCCCAAAACTCCAAAAGGCATCTTCCGGGTTGGGTTCCAGGACCCAGGGCCAAGCTCAGCCCCAGCCTGAGGTCAGGGCTCTTGAGCCACAGACCTGAGCAGAAGCAACACCCCAACATCTAGAGGGCACCCCAGCCACTCTCAGGGTAGGAGGCCCAGAGGGAAACCCAGGTCCCGCAGGTGGCTCTCCAAAACTGCTCCACACTGGAAGAGCCACGGAGACCAAGGACCTGGGGCCTAGAAGAGACCTCGTTTCTCAAAGAGGTGCCCTAATTCTGGCCTTCAAACTGTCAGGGGACAGAATCTCAGTCGTAAGCCTAAGGGGAAGTCACCCCATAACCCCACTGCTTCAAACTGCCAGGGCTGCTGCCAAAGGGCTCAGACTTCCATGGGGTTCGGGCCAACAACACAGAGCAACCAGGTCCCTGCTCAACCTGGCAAAGTCCACGATCCCACAAGGCTCTCCAGATCCCAGGCCTGCAGGGGTATAGCCTCAACAATCCAACGCGTCCCCATCACCAGTTGGATGGAAGGGTTCAGGATGGCGGGGGCTTGGGAGACTTCAAGCCTGGGGGGGGGGGCTCAGCCCGATATCCCAGGGGTATCCCAGTGGCGCCCCAGCAGCAATCCACCCAGACAGCTGCACTTCAGCCAACGCTGGGAGCCCGACGGCTGGGGAGGGGGAGGACGCGGCTTTCGCACCCTCCCTCGTCCGTCCCCAGGTCCCCCTGGGTCTGCAGCCCCCAGGCTTTGCCCATCCTGGGGCTGGTGATGGGTGCAGGCCGAGCCTAGGCCTGCGCCCGGCCCCCTTCCCGCCTGCCCTCCTCCCTCGCCACCCCACCCCACCCCCCCAGTGCTCGGCCTCGTTTCGTCACCGGATCCCCTGGAATGGGGGACGCGGGCGCGAAATACGAACCCAGCCACCGGCAGCTCGCTCCCCACGTGCGCGCGGCCCGCGGCGCGGAGGACGCCCGGGGAGGGGGCGCCTCACCTTTGCCCTCCATGGCGTGCACGAAGTCCCCCTGGTACAGCTGGCTGCGCAGCTTCTCCTCCAGGCTGAAGCCGCGGACGCTGACGATCTCTTCCACGTCCGACAAGTCCTCGTTCTCGTCGTATCTCTGGCGGTCAATCGGACGCTGCGGGGACCCAACCAGAGACCCCGGGACATTACTGAGGGGACTGGGGGTCCCTTGTAACCATGGCCCCAGCACGAACAGGTGCAGGAGCCGTGCGCCCCCCTGCACCCCACCACTGCAATCTGAGCAACTTTGCGCAAATGCCAAAGATGCTGAAAAGCAGGAAAAGAAGAGGGGCCCGCACCCCGAGGGTCCGGCTGCACCCTACACGAAGCACACCCCTCCTGCATCTTTGGAAGCCACGGCAGGAACATCTAGGGGCTCTCCCTTACCCCCTACCCCGGGATGTGAGGAGCTTTGCCCACCCAGATGGGAGCCTGGTTATGTAACCCGCGAAGGGGCTCCGGGCACGAGCCGGCGGGGCAGATGTAGGCCCCGGGAGGAGCCGCAGCGGCGCCGGGCTCGGCGCTCACAGCAGCCCCGCCGCCCGCGGCGGCAGAGCCGGGAAGCCGGAACCGGGGGCCGGCGGCATCGCTGAGGCTGGAGCCGCCCCCGAGCTACCGGAGAAGCTGGAAAGCTGAAATGGAAGGGCTGAGTCCCCAGCCGCCCCCGCCGACCGACCGCCAGTTCAAGAAGAGAAGGTGAGAGGAGGAGGTCTGGGGCTTGGGAGGGGGAGAGGCAGACGGCCCGCCACAAAGCTCCCATCGGAGACCCCAAAACGCACCAGCAGCTGCCTCATCTCCCCACGAGCGCGCGCGCACACTCACTTCCTAAGGAGACTCCCCCACCACTCCCCGAATCCCCCTGCCTCCCCCCTCCGCCGCCTGGCGCCCGGCCCCGCAGCCCCCGGAATCCGGGCGAACCCCGAGCCCGCTCAGCCCCCTCCACGCCTTTCCGCGCTACCACCTCCCCACTTAAGTGTCTGAGACTCTGAGCCTCACAAGAGACTGGAGGAGTAAGCTGCTTGCTTCCTTTTGCATGCAATTTATTATTTTTTTTCCGGTCCTCTCGCAAAATACAGGGAAAAAAAAAAAAAAAGGAAAGAACAGGCAGCAAGAAACAACCAAAAAAATAAATAGATCTATCGTATACCAGATACAGATTGGGGGGGGGGGGGAGCTACACACCAATCTTCTTCCAGAGTCTTTCTCTGCCTCCATTTTTTTAGGAGAGTTCACCAATTAATTGTCAACACTCCTGCCCCCTGCATTTTGGCGGAGGGGAGGGAGGAGGGAAGACCAAAGAAAACAAACCAAAAAATAAATAAATAAAGCAAGCCAGAGCCGAGATCTACAAAGTTTTGCACCAACACTTAGGCAGATCCGTTTGCAAAGTCCTAGGAAACCATTTTCAGCAGTTGTGTGGGGGGGAGGCGTCGACGTCATAATCCCCGGAACGTAAACATTGTTGCCGATCCGCGCTCGGAGCCCGCAGCCGGGCTAATGGGGGGGCACTCGGCCCGGGCTGGGGGTCGGGGGGGCGGTGGCCCGAGGAGGTGTGGGGCGGGGAGGGAGTTCGGGAGGCTCCGGGCGCCGTTAGCGCCCTGGCATCGCTGTTTTGTTGTTGGGTCACGAGTGCTCCTCTGCACGCAGGCGCCGCCGCCGCCCGGGAGTTGTGTGCAGAGCTGACTTTTGGAGGGCTGAGTTGCAGGCAGCGGGCGCATCCCGGCGAGGGCCGGGCGGGAGGGAGGGAAGGAGGAGGGGGTGGGGAGGGAGGTGCAGATTTGCACTGCTGGCCTCAGCGGGAGGCGCGGAAATGCAAGCCGAGCTGGCTGGCGAGAAAGCCCCCGGGGCCTGGCACCCCCCCCCCCAACGACCCCCACCTCAGTCCAAGCCCCTTTACTCAGGGCTCTTCTTTCTTCATCCACTCGACCCCATTACCTGCGCTGGCGACCCAAATACAAAGCATTTTGTATATAATCTTTTTTTTCTTTTCCACTCCATGGCTTTTGGGGGGAGGGGCGATCCTGTCCAGATCCCCGTTTGCGAACCTGCCATATGGAAGGGGCATTTGAGGGGCCCGGAAGCAAATTAGCGCAGCTCTATATCTGGATGGACTGCGTAACTTTAAAACTCCCAGGACTGAAAGATAATTGGAACACACGCACACACAGGTACAGGAAATACAGCCAGACCAAAGATTGTTCAGACCGCAGCTGACCGGAAGCCGTTGCCTTTTCATTCATTCATTCTGCTCGCCTCGGTGGAGTCCTTTGATAGGCAACGAGCCCTGAAACACAAGTTGGACTTGTAAAGGTTCGTCAGGAGGAAGAAATTGACGCTCAGGAAGGATATACCCACAGAATCGGACCCAGCGTCTCCCAGCGCAGCTCCCAAACAAGCCAAAGGTAAGCCCTGTCGGGTCTTTATAAAAGAAAATTGGTACAAAGGCATGAGGTTCTCCGGGAGGGGGCACGGAAACTTCGGGCGCACCTGATTTAACCCTGTGTGGCTTCTTAGCAGAGGTATGGGCACCCTTTCTGCGAATTTTGCATATCACTAGCTGCCCGACGCTCCCCTGCCCTCGGACCTAGGGCCTGTGACTACCCTAATTGATCCTGGAGTCCCATTATGTGCAACAGTCCGGTCCACTTCAGTTTTAAGAAAAGTTGATCCTGAACTTTCCTCTTTCCCAACTCTTATGCCACCCAAGGCCTGGTCTTGGAGGCAAAGCTTCTGATAAGATGACATGGCAAAAGGATGCATATAGCAGGCATGAGTACGGTTTTGTTTTTGCAGTACTGGGGATTGAACTCAGGAAACCAGGTCTACACCCCAGCTTCTTTCTTTCTTTTTTTTTTAGATTAGGATCTTGCCAAGTTGCCCTAGCTGGTCTCAAAAAATGTCTATTTTTTAGGGTGGTACTTGGAGATTGAATGCAAGCCCTTTGCACCTGAAAAACATCCCCAGCTTTTTTTTTTTTTTTTTTGGTGGTACCAGGATCAAACTCTGGACCTTGCGCTTGTGAAGGTGGAACCACTGAACTAAATCCCCAGCCCCCCAGCTCTTTTTAAAACAGGGTCTCACTAAGTTGCCTGGGCTGGGGTTGAATTTTCGATCTTCCTCCCTCAGCTTCCCAGACTCCTGGCATTACCGCATCACCACACCTGGGGTATCCTCAAAGTTTTGATCCTACCTTAGCCTCCTAAGTAGCAGGGATTACAAGCATGCGCCACTGCACCAAATTTATCGTGGCATTTTACTTTGCTATTAACCCTGTGGGCTAGCTGGAGGGGATCATTTTACAGATTGGGAAACTGAGACCCAGAGAAGCCACAAATCTGTATGATTGGTCTGCCATGTCGTTTCCATGTCAATAAGCAACCAGACAGATGTGGGGAGGAAGTGGCTTCCCTGACCCAGATCAGATGTAAACCATATGTGTCACCCTGAGACAGCGTCACCTCCACTCACCTTAAAATTTCCTGTCATATCATCTGTACTCTTTTGCACCCGCCCCTGAAGGCGACTTTTTAAAGTTTGTTTTAATCCATGTTCACAGGCTGTAAAAATCTTAAGTAGGGATGAAGCTAGCAAACACAGAAACTTGTCTTGGAATAGAAGTCACCCACGTTGACCCTGCTGCAACCAGAGCAGCCCTTAGTGTGGGTGAGGGCTCTTCAGCCCTCTGTCAAGAACCCGGGACCATTTCATTTGCTTCTCTCTTGAGAAAGAGGGACCCTTTCAGAGAAACCGTCATGTTATTCCCCATTTTGCAAGCAAGGAAATCAGGACTCAAAGGGCAAAGCCACTCACCCCAGGTCGCACAGCTTTGGAAGTGGGGCTACTAAGGCTCCAGTTGGAGCCTGGCGTGACTACCTTTTCACATAATGAACTAAACTGCTCAGGGAGGGCTCCCAGGCTGCATGGTGATAAAAAGTAAGTAAAATAGAATAAAGCAAAACTAGTTAACAGGATGATTGGTCTTCATCTGCCTCTCCGCATGTAGCTTCGTGGTGTCCCCCAGAAGCTGGCATGAGGAAAAGGTCCACCAGCAGCCACCTTAGTGTAAAAACAGGTCCATATATCACTTCGATGGGGAGTTCCTGGCTGTCAGAGCAGGAAGGGCTTGACTAGTCACCTAATTTAATCCCCTCCCTTTACAAACCTCCGGGAAACTGCAAACCTGAGAAAAGAATGAGCCAGCCAGGGTTTGTTCCCCTTTGACTCCCCCAGAATGCCTAACCCTGCCTCCATCCTAAGTGGTCACTCAATAAATGTTGGGCTCTTGATGGATCACCTTCCCCAGCATATTTGCATTTTCTCTTTATCAGTAATTGGCAGATGAAAGGCTTTGTGCTCTGGTTGAAAGAATTCCAAGCATTTGGCTCAAAGTGGGGGAGGAGGTTATTTTGGGCCAAAGGGAGAAGCGCCCAGACCCTTGAGCTCCAGCTTGCCTGATTGTCCCTAGAGTTGAGAATAGGTAAAGGAGGGGCCAGAAGCTGAAAGTGCTTATCCAAAAGATGAATTTTTTTTTTTGGTAGGAAAATACCAAGCCAGTTGTAATGGGAAACAAAATAATAATGACTTCCTAGACTTTCCTGCTTGTCTTTGCAAAAGGCCCAATCAAATCCTGCCTGTGTAGCCCCATTCATTCATTTCATTTCTCTTCCCTCCTCAAAGGTTGACTGGGCAACTCTGCTCCCAAAGGCAGAGAAGAGAGAAGAAACAGCTCCACTCACAGCACTCTGGGCTAGGCCTGGAGATGGAACAAGGGCTGGACACCTCAGAACCAGAAACCAAAATGTGGGGTCTCTAAAGAAACCGAAGCTTTCTCCTAATTATAACAGCTCCTAACTTACCAAAACTTGCTTTTGAGCAGAGCCTCTCACGTTTGTTATCCCTGAATTCTTGCCAAAGCTCTATGAAGAAGAGGTTGTAATTCCCCACTTTATAAGCTTAGGCTCAAAGAGAGATCGAGTTACTTGATCAAATTTTACAGCTGTGAAATAACCGCCATAGGATTTGAACCCAGAACGTGTAGGAATCCAAAGCTCACAGAGGTTAAGCCTCCCTGCAGAGCTGTGCCATAGAGCATGATGGAGATAATGTGTATCTCCATCAATACAGGCACCTCTACCCACACCCCAGCTGTGGAGCACTTGAAATGTGGGTACTGGGATTAAGATCTTTGTTACTGTGCTGGGGACTGAACCCAGGGCCTCATACGTGCCAAGCATGCACTCTGCCATTGAACTATACCCCAGTGCAAATTTTTTTTTTTTTTTGGTAACCAGGGATCGAACTCGGGACCTTGCACTTGTGAGGCAGGCAGCGGAACCACTGAGCTAAATCCCTGGCCCTCCCCCAGTGCAAATTTTAATAAAAAATTAAACAGTGTACTCCCAAAGTGTTTTGCACTATTTGTCTTAAGGCTGTATATACCTCAAGGTCTGAATTGGCCTTGGGTCCCCATAATCCACTGCTCCAAAACATTTGTGGAATGAATGAAGGGTCCCTGTGGGAAGGGGCCATCTGGTACGGTGTGAATGCTTGCAGTGTTAGTCTAACCGACTGGCTCTGAGTGCCTGCCAGGACCCTGGCACTGGGAGGGAGCCCGGGGGTGCCAGCTGGATATGTGATTGGCCCACCTGCCCAGATCTCACAAATAAACTTCTCAAGGACAGATATAACGGGTATTGGGGCAGGAATCCTTCCGACAGACTCAAGCACCATGATGCAGTCAAACCAGAAAACAATCTTTAAAGTTGAGAAACTTAAGTCATGTATATGCCTGATGAAATCATACCGAATCATTACAAAGAGTAAGATAAGGCTGGGGGTGTAGCTTAGTGGTACAGCACTTGCCTAGCATCCATGAGACCCTGGCTTTAATCTGTAACACTGCAAAGAATAAGTAGCAGGTATCAGTATTTGCTGATGTGAAATCACTGTGTGATATCCTTAAATAAAATGATTTAAAATACTACATTGTGATGATCACTTGCATAAAGCAAGTGGTTGGGCCGGGGATTTAGCTCACCTGCCTCACAAGCGCAAGGTCCTGAGTTCGATCCCTGGTGCCAAAAAAATAAAAAAAATAAAGCAAGTGCTTGCCTGGCATCCATGAAGTCCTGGGTTCCCAGCCCCACAAAAAAAGAATTATGTTTCATTTATTTTTTATCAAATACTTCAGGCATAGGGAAAGGAAGACAAGGGTAGGGTGCTTAAATGTGCAGGCCCAGGGTTTAATCTTAGCACTGCCAAAAAATAAATTAATGAGGCACAGAAAGTAAATATAACAGAGTTGTGCATTAGCACCCTGCACTTTCTCCAAATCTTACAATTTGTCATATTTTGTGATTTAAAATATATTTTTAATTTGGAAGGGACAACAGACATGCTATTTCTGGTAAAGTGGTTGTTCTCAAATACCTTTTTTTTTTCTTTTTTACCCCTGAGTGCCTTGTAGACTGAAATTTAAAAGTAAAGAAGAGGCAAATTCTTTGTATACATTGACCGTCAGGCCTTGGCTATTTGGGGAAGACTTGATTTTCTAGCTAAAATTTTGTATTTCATATTTCTCTTCCTGCCTGAGGACCGGAAAGAAATTTGGAAATAATAGATAAGTTAATTGAAGGGTTAATGCCAGGAAGAGAGTCATAAAAGTTCAAAGATTCTTCAAAAACTTGCATCTTTGGATTGACGGACAAGTGTGTTAGCCAATGGAAATAAAAGGCCAGGCATTACTTCATCATGCTCAATTGTCATTGGTTGACAAGTCCCTAGGGACAGACAAGAAGGCTGGCAGTTAACCCTTTTGCAGAGTACCATGCCCTTTGCATTTATTTTGAAAGCTGAAATAGGGACCGAAGAAAAGCCTAGAAATGCTAGAAATGTCCTGAATCCTTCAAGTGTCCCTCCTTTGGGTCTAACTCCATAAGATAGGATTTCACCTAACAAAGGAATACTCAGGGACAAATGTCCCGGAGAAAAGTTTTGAACTTTGAAAATCAGCTGACCTTTCAGAGTGGGAGGAGAGTAGTTTGATTCACTTTCTGCTGTCAGAACAGAGACCCATGTTGGAGAGGCTACCATTAATCTTGCGAAGTGATCGGTCACTGAGAGGATTGAATTGCATTTCCTGCCCAAAGATGTAGAGACTGATGACCTTTTCAGCAGCCCGCAGACCCCCAGCTCACAGCTGGAGAGGATGTGTCAGCATTTACTCTCCATCTCACCCTGCCCTTTGTTCAGAGCTCCAACCCTTTGTGTTCAGCCTGCTGCAGGAGTTTTTGTACTTGTTGATGCTGCTGATTTCTTTTAAACCACCCACATCTTGCAACTTCTGAGAAACAAACTTGTCTGGCAGAAGATCGTATCTGGAGGTGCCCCAAAGAGGAAACCAGAATAGACAGGGAAATTTTGAGAGCCCACTGGGCCTGTTAGTTTTAACTGTTGTCCCCTCCTGGGCTCCCTGCATGCTGAAGGCTGAACTAGATGGAGCCAGAAGTTGAACAAAATGAATAATTATGCCCCAAGTTTCGATGGCCCCGTTACAGCAAAGCTTTTACTTGTGTTACCGCACACAGAAGTCATTGCTAAGGCAGAAGCATTTACGTGAAAAACATTCTGAATCCCCAGAGTATGGTGAGCTACCTGACCTCAGACAAAGCACTCGGAATCCATCTTAGTTTTTTTCATCTGTGAAATGGGCATCATAATGTGAACTGCATTAGAGTAATAAGGCAATTGGATGAGCTGATGTTCTATGGAAGTACTCAGTCAACATCTTCACTCAAATGAAGTTGATCTTCTTGGTTCTATAACCCTAAAAACTAGCTTCACCTTAGCAACTTCACTTTTTCCCAGAGATGGGTGAAACCATTCCAGGCCCTGTCTCCCTATCCTGAGTACGCTGCCTCCTGTACTGTTGGGAGATCTTTGACTGAACCGCTCTCGTTCCCGAGCTCCAGGCCTCAGCCCATGCTAACCCCTTCCCCAGTACCGCCCTGCCACGTGGCCTCCCTTCAACGCTGTCACTTTGGGGACCTGGCTAGGGGTCTCCTTCCTGCCCCCACCTAATGCCGAACGGTCCCCCAGGGCCCATCCAGATGCCCCCCTGCACACCCGAATCTAAGCCTGCACAGGTCCCTTATGTAAAATGGCACCGTGTTTGCATAGGACCTACTCACCTCTTCCCCTCCTCCTGTATTCTTTACATCCCCTCAATACCAGGGCAGTGGCAAACTCCTGTCATCACAGTGTGTCGTGGCTGGCAAGGATCGCAAGTTCTAGTCCCACCCGGGCAATTTACCAAGACCCTGTCCCAAAATAAAAAGGGGTGGATGTAGCTCACCTCTGCATGTGTTCCCCAGCGTGGGGGTGACATTCATTAGCACTTAATCATGAAGCCAGGGCAACTTTGGTTCATCCCCAGAGGAGCCTTTATGGGCAGCCTTCCTGTTCTCTCCAAAGCATCTCTTCCTGACAGAGTGCAGGGCTTTTCCATTGGTGTGAATAGATGTTCTGGGGTGTTCTGAATGAAGACAGTTGATGCCCCCCCAAAAAAGCATATCTGAAGGAGCCTCGTACAAATTGAGAGCCTATGAGTTTTTGCCATTTCTCCTTACCCTAAATTTTTTCTTGGAAGCTGGACATGGCAGTGCACACCTGTGATCTCAGCACTTGGAAAGCTGAAGCAGAAGCAAGAGGTTCGCTGTGTGAGGCCAGCCTGAGCTACATAGTGAGACCCTGTCTCAAAAAATAAATAAACAAACAAATGTGTAAATTTCTTGGGAATACCTCATGATTACAATAAAACACTGGTGTTAACTGTCTAACATCTGTCTGTCATTAAAAGGAAAAGTTCCTGACGACACAGACTTTGTCCGTCTTATCATTGTTTATCTTCACCTGACTCATAAAGCTACGCAAAAAATGCTGGTTAGCTGGACGCTTGTACTCTCAGCTACTCAGGAAGCTGAGCCAGGAGGATCACAAGTTCAAGGCCAGCCTGGGCAACTTCTTGAGACATTGTCTCAAAACTGTTTTTGGAAAAGGGCTAGAAGATGTAGCTCAGTGCTCCCAGGGTTCAATCCCCAACAAAGGGTAAGGGGAACTTGTTGAATGAATGAATTCCTTGTAACTCCAAAATATGTCTATTTTCAGCTCAATCAACTAAGTCTTATTGTGCATGTCTTTGAAGTGCATATAGTTTCCTAGAGGCCCTCATGAAGTGCTGAAGATGTGTAGATAATGTGCTTTTCAGAGGGGAGTGGTGCTGTATACCTGTCCACAGCCCAGACTCCCACAGTCCAGATGGCCACCACAGTCATTGGATCCCTGGACATCAGCTGAGCTGTAAGGCCACCTGCAGGCATAGGACCAGCTGCCATTACCCAAAGCTGAAGCTCTCAACACCTGTGCCCTGCATTCTCCTCCACCACCTGTGGGAGAGGCTTCCCCTGGACCCCCTTGGGTCTCCCTGGGTGGTGGCTGAGGGTCTGGAGACAGAGAATTGAAGGCTGCAGTGTTGAGCCAGCTGTTAGGATCTCAGCTTGTCCAAAGTCCCCAGAACATCCTGGGGCACCTTGGCCTCTGCTCCTGATCTCTGCAATCGATTTGTCAGCCTGATTCTGACACTGTCTGCCTAGGCACTGCCTGGGCACCGTGAATTCTGCGACCTCGGGACTCACATGAGTCACCTTACTTTCCTGCCAGATCTTAAGCTCTTGGAGGAAAGTTGGATGTTTATTTTCTGTCCACCTCAGTCCAAGGCACTTGGAAGGAGCACAGTGGCCAGACTGGTCCACAGTTGAGGTGAATGCCCTGGAGAAGCGAACTGACCTTCCTGGACCTCATTTGTACAATGGGAAAAACAACATTGTTAGGAGGGTAGAATTAGACCGTGGGAACCACAGTCGTCCTCCTCTCTGCTCTCCTTTTCTCAAAAGCAGTGACCACCATCCATCATTTATGTATTTTAGTTATTTTAATACTTTCTCTCCTCCCATTAGGAAGGATGTCAACATCACAAAGCACAGATTTTATTCTACTTTGTTCACCTCCATGACCCCGGCCCCAGATCAGAGCTTGGCACACTGTAGGTCTGCAGTAAATATTTGTTGAATAAAACGAAGGTTTGATAAGTGTCCAATAATAGTAGATAGAATTCGGTCTCGGGAATCTTAACTGAAACCAGTGTAACTGGGACAAAGGAATGTAGCACCATAGAAGTACAAAACACCTGTTATCCCAACATTTGAGAGGCTTAGGCAGGAGGATCACAAGTTCAAGGCCAGCCTGAATACATAGCAGGACCCTGTCTCAAAAACAGAAAAGTATGAGGAACTGTAGCTGAAAAGTCCTGTCTGTACCATTTCCCAGCTGTGTGGACTAC